CCTGCCCCTCACTCCCACCTCAAAAATCCCCTCTTCTTGCTGCCCTCCCTGCTGCATGTGACAGGGTGGCACTGTGTTCGAGGATTCACCAGGCCTCCAGCTACTTGAGCCTGCCAGGGGTCAGGGTCACCTCTAAGGAGCCTTCTATGCTCTGAATCAGCAGAACCTGTGCAAAGGGGGGAGGGACGAGGGAGGGAAGAGTCCAAAACAGGGAAAGCGCTTAGTCCCCACCTTGGTTCTCAGCACTCCAGGAGCAGAGAGGACACACTGGGAGCTGACAAGGTGGAACAGGATCTGCAGGGAGGGCTGGGCCCCCAGGAGAGTGCAGGCTCTAAGACAGCTCAACCTGGGAGTCCTGCAGACTCAGTCATTGAGGATCCCCCGACAGTGGGAGGTTTAGGGGGCATGATGGGAAACGGGCATTTCAATGCCTTTGCTACTAATAAGCAAAGCAGCATGCAAATTCATAGGCCACACCTGGGGCGGTTGGTTAGCGTTGCCCTGAGAGCCTTGCTTCTCATTGGAACCCCAAGTCCAGGACCAGCCAGACTGAATCCAGCAAGACTGACTCCGATGTACTCTTTTAGCTGGGAAAGGCTTGCTGTGTGACCTTGGGCCAGGAGAGCAACTTCTCTGGGCCTGTTTCACAGCCATGGTGGAAGGGCGGTTAAGAGGATCTGAGGCTGGAAGCTGGAAGCACATCCGCAGGCCCTCTCCATTCCTTTGGCCTGTAAGGGGAGAGGCTGCCCAGCCTGAGGCTCCCGCTGGTTCAGAGTCCTCTAAAAGGCAGCAGCCTGTTCGGTGGCTCTGGGAGAGGTGTCAGAGTTGGCGACAGCAGAAGGGGAGGCACAGGAAGTGGGCAGAGCCAGGACGCTGCATCAATGGGCTCTCTAGCCTGACTCTGTCACCACTCAGCTGAGGAGCTGGGAAATTACAGTTTATTCCTCAGCCTAAGGAAGGGATGAGAAAGGAGGGCCCTATTTTTCACGGATCCCCCTGGGACTGGTGACTTCAGCTTCCCAAATGGGAAGATGCCCTGGGCAGCTCCTGAAGCTGCTAGTCTGGGGGACTTCTAGAGTCTCCCGCGGAGGGTCTTTTACGTTTCATTTGCACGGTGCTCCTTGTGTGCCCGCAAAATCTAGAGGGCCCTTCTACCTCCAAAACTCCCCTATAATTGAATATATAAATGATAGCGAGGAGGAGTCAGGGTAGACAAAGCAGAACTTCCAATAGCTCCTTAACCACAGAAAGGGTGCTGGGGGTCAGGGGAAGCGGGCCGACTGCACCTCTGGTCCTGATGCCCCCACCTCTTCTGAGAAAGACAGACCCCTGCATGTTTCAGAGCCAAGAGAACTGGCTTGAATTCAGCTCTAACCCTGACCCCTGCCAGGCTCAAGAACTCAGCCTAGGCTGTGAACTGTCCCTCCGTGGGACTCAGTTTCTCTGTCTGTCCAGGATGCCGATGATCCCTGGTGCGGCAGTCTGCAGGCAGGCGCCTGGCCCGGAAGAACTCCCGCGCGGAGGGGCTGGGGAAAGCTTGGGTTCACTTGGGGACGCAGAGGAGGCTGACACCAGGCGGGGCTCCTCGGAAGAGGGAGGGGATCCTGGAGGGGAGGGCTCCCGGGGACTCCTCCCCCCGCGGGGCCCGCGGCCTC